GTATGTTTTTGTATAATTCCATGGAGAAAAACTCAACAGAATTTTAAATACGTATTTCCTTTGACCCACTAATTTCACTCCTATGAATTCATCCTACATTTATATGTGCAAACTAATACATCTACAAGGATATTAAATACTTTTTTGTTTGTGCAGTGAAAGATTGGCAATCACTTTTACTAATTATTACAGGGAATACAGGTTGTTCCAATAAATTATGCTACACACACAATAATAAGTCATTCAACTATTAAAAGAATGAGGTAGATCTCTATGTACTGATATTTAATCATCTCTAAAATACACAATTAAGTGATGAAAGAAAGAGGCAAAAAAAGGTTATGGAGAAAAAAAGAGAAACTCCCATTCAAAGTAAGTCTGCAAAGCAAATTTCCAAAGTGTATGAAAAAAGTTAACATATGACAACCAACAGAATAACAATTGAAAGGAAAATTAAAATAATAAGACTACATAAAATCTTTCCTATCCACTGTGTATAGTTCTTTTTAAAGAGAAAATGTAAGAAATAAAAGACAAAAGAACCTGGACATGATGGTGCATGCTCGTAATCCCAGCTGTTGGGGAGGTTAAAGTAAGAGAACCACGAGTTTAAGCAACACTGCATATAGCAAGACTCTGTCTCAAAATAAAGAGGACTGGTGGTGCAGCTCAAGGGTAGTGCTTTCTTTGCTTGTGTGAGATGCTGTGTTCACTGTTTGGCACACATGCATACATGCACGTACATACACACACACACAAAATAAAAAACAGGCAGAAATAAAATGGGGATATTTGGGTATAAAAGAACTATTTCTAAGATACTATAAATGATAAATCTAGCTATGGAGACAATTCAATACATGAGATTAACTCTAGATTTCCCAGAATGGAAGATTCAGCTGGTTCATTAGAAGACAGCATGGTAATTGCTCCCTGTACTGAGACTACATATTCCAAGATCCTGGGGATGCCACGGGTTTTATGTTTTTTTGAATACATACATGCCTATGATAAAGTTTAATTTATGAATTAAGCACAGTAAGAGACTAACACTATTAATAAGTAGAATCATTATACCATGTTTTCCTCAAGATAATAGGTACTGAAAACCAACCAGCCATGGAAACTGGAGATCAAATATGCCAGCCTCAATCAGCCTATCTTTTCCTCACCTGCCTTACGAGGAATCAACAAGCAAGAAAACAGTTTGAGACCAGCGTGAGAAAATGATTGGATCTTGGTACAGAGACAAAGGACTATAGTTAGCCATTGTCTGAGTGCATCACTAAAAAGCACCCTAACTAAAGTGACCTCCATTCTAGCAACAAAGTGTTTTCAGTAAGTGACTAAATACCTAAGCATAAAATAAAACAAACACATTAGACACCTGAGAAGACAAAGCAAGAAGATGACTACCAAAACTCCCAACTCCCTAAAGGAGAAGAGAAGAGACAAAGAAGATCACTACATATTGGTTAAGTGAACAATTCAACAGAAAGATAAAACAAATGTAAACATATATATGCCAAACACTGGCATGCATAGTTTCAAAAAACAAATATGATTGGATATAAAAAAATCAGATAAATACCAACACAATTATAAAGGGGGATGTCAATATGACAGTCATAAATAGATCAACTAGACAAAAAAATCAACAAAGTAGTATCGGAATTTAATCAAAATTTCAAACAAATGGACTTAATGGATATCTACAGAGTATTCTACCCAACAGAAACAGAATTTTTCTCAGCAGAAGAGGGAACATTCTCAAAAATAGACCACATGCTAGCCCATAAAGCATGTAAATGCAAAAGAATAAGAATTATGCCATGTATATTATAAAATCATAGTGCAATGAGACTAGAAATCAACAACAAAAGAAAACAGAAATTGTGCAAACACATAGAAACTAAACAGTACACTTTTGAATAATTAGTGAGTTAGAGAATAAATTAGACAGCTTCTAGAATCAAATGATAATGTCAATACAACGTGTGGTAATCTATGGGACACTAGGAGAGCGTTCCTAGAAGGAAGTTTATAGTTGTGAATATCCACATTAGGAAAACAGGGTGAGTGCAAACAACCGAGTGATATAATTCAAAGTCCTAGAAAAACAAAAACCCAAATCCAAAGCTAGAATGAGAAAAGAAATTATAAGAATCAGGACAGAAATTAATGGAATAGAGACTTAAAAATAATACAATTAATCAAAGAGCTAGTTCCTTGGAAGAATAAACAAAATAGACAACTCTCTAACCAGTCTAACCAGAAAAAAGTGAGGAAAAGACCCAAATCAATGCAATTAAAAATTAAAAAGGTAAAATCACAACAGACTGCTGAAATCTAGATTACATAACCAATTGAGAACCTGTAGTCTAATAAAATGGAAAATTAATAAGAAATGGATAGATACGTAAGTACATATGAACTACCAAAGTGGAACCAAGAAGAAATTAAGCCCCTGAATAATTAAATATCAGACAATGAGTTTGAATAAGTAATTTTAAAAATCTATCAACCAAAAAAGCCCAGGTCCTGATGAGTTCACACCCCACTTCTATGAGAAATTTAGGGAAGAACTAATGCCAATACTCCTCAAACTCGTTAATGAAGTCTAAAGGGAAGGAGTACTCTCAGAATCACTCCTGAAAGCTAGCATTACCCTGATTCCAAAACTAGAAAGGGGCCAACTGAAAAAAAGAAGTACAGGAAAATCTCTTTAATGAACATTGACACAAACATCCTCATCAAGATACTGGCAGGGGCTGGGGATTTAGCTCAGTGGCATAAGCGCCTGCCTTGCAAGCAAGCAGTCGTCAGTTTGATCCCTGGTACCGATAAAAAGGAAAAAGACAAAAAAACAAAAAAAAAAAAACGATACTGGCAGCTGGGTGTGCTGGTACATACTTATAATTCCAGCACTGTGTTGGCTGACGCAGGGGGATTGGTACGGGTTTGAGATCAGCCTGGGCTAAGTGAGCTCAAGGCCAGCCTGAACGGCTTAGTAGACCCTGTGTCAAAAAAACAAATAAATAAACAAACAAACCAAAAAAACCCAAACAAAAAAGCCCCAAAATAACCCCAAAAAACAAACAAAAAAACCATACTAGTGAAAAGGGTGCAACAAATCATCAAAAATATACATCAGGGGGCCAGGGATTTAGCTCAGTGGCCTAAGTGCCTGCCTGGCAAGTGCAAGGTCATGAGTTCAATTCCTGGTACCAAAAAACAAAAACAAAAACAAAACAACAACAAAAATATCTACGTATATATCACGACCAAGTAGAATTAATCCTAGAGATGCAAGGATGGTTCAATATATACAAATAAATAAAAGTAATATATCACATAAATGGAAACAAGGATAAAAATCACATGATTACCTCACTGGATGCAGAAAAAGTCTTTGACAATTCCCACATCCATTCTTGATAAAAATTCTGAAGAAAATAAGCATGAAAAGGACCTTATCTCAATCTGGTAAAAAGCCTTTTGTGACAAACAAATGGCCAATATTACATTAAATGGGTAGAAGCTAAAAGATTTCACTCTAAAATCATGAATGCGACGAAGATGCCTGCTAATCAGCACTCTGATTCAATATAGTTCTTGGAACATTAGCAGAGCGATTAGACAAGAAAAAGAAATAAAAGGGATATGTTTAGGAAAGGAAAAAGCCACATTATCATCATATGCAGTTGACAAGATTCTCCATATAGAAGACCCAAAAATTCTACCAAAAGATTCTAAAATTAATAACCAAATTCAATAGCTTAGCAGGACACGAAGTCCACACAAGAAAATCAGTAACATTCTCTTACACAAATAGTAATAAGAAACAAGTTAAGAACAAATACCTTTTACAATATCTCAAGAAAAATTAAATACCTAGGAATTAATCTAACCAAGGAAATGAAAGACCTATAAAATGAAAACTACAGTACCATAAAAAGGAAAGCAAAGGGGACATCAGAAAATAAAAATATGTTCTCCTTTCTAGATAGGCAGAATCGGGGCCAGGGATTTAGCTCAGTGGCATAAACGCCTGCCTAGCAAGTGCGAGGTCATTAGTTTGATCTCCAGTACCAAAAAAAAAAAAAATTGTAGATAGGCAGAATCAATCTAGTCAAAATGGACATACTTCCAAAACTGATATACAGATTTAACTCAATCCCAAACAAAATACTAGTAGTTTCCCTCACAGAAGTAGAGAATACAATCCTGAAACTCATATAGACCTAAGAGAGACCTAGAATAGCAAAAACCATCCTGGGTAACAAGAGCAAAACAATAGGCATTGCAATCTCAGATTTTAAATTATAGAGAAAACCTTCACAAAAACCAGACATATAAATCAATGGAAGAGAATAAAGGATGCACAAACAACTCAAAGCACATTTAGACACCAGATCATTGAGAAAGGGAACAAAAAAATTACACTAAAGATAAACCCTTTAACAAATGGTGCTGAAACAATTTACTGTTCACATGCAGAAGATTGACTCAGGACAAATTCCTCTCAGCATGTACCAAAATAAAATTGAAGTGGATGAAAGATCTAAATATTAAAATAGAAATAAGTTGCTGGAAGATGAAATGTGCAAAACTCTTGAAGAAATAGGCATAGGCAAAGACTTTCTGAACAGGGCCGGGCTTGGTGGCACTGTAATCCTGTAATCCCAGCACTTGGGAGGCTAAGGCAAAAAGATTGTTGCAAGTTCAAGATGAGCCTGAGCTACAAAGTGAGCCCAAGGCCAGCCTGAACTGCGCAAAAACTGCACAGTGAGACTCTGTCTCAAAAAGATAAAAAACAAAGACTTTCTGAACAAAATCCCAATTGTACAAGAGACAGCATTAAGAATCAACAAATGGATTCATAAACAACCAATACAGTGAAGAAACAACATACAGAAAGAAAAAAAAGTTTTGCCACCTGTTCCTTGGACAAAGGACTAATATATAGAATATATAAAAGAACTAAAAAAATTAGATCCTTGGCCCTGAATCAAGGCTGGCAGTTTCCTGAAGCTGTTGGTTTCAAACGGGAACCTAAAGTGGTATCTTTCTATGATTTGTTGGCCATTTCAGAACTTAAATATAATGGTCAATTCATTAGAAAGAGACAACTCACCCCTCAGTGACCCACCACTATGGGCCGGAGTAGGAGAAGCCATGTCTACAGGTGAGCCTGCCACTGCAGGCCTGGAGAGGAAGCTATGCCCCCAGGATTCAGCAGCCATCAGGGGAACACTGATGAGCATCTGCCCTGCACCTTGTCACCATCCCAGGAACCTTGGATTGGAGGAACCCAGGTGCCTAACCCAATCTTCTGCACCATGAGATAAGCAGCTAATTCAGGAAGCACTTGGGACTCAGCAACTGGCTTATTTGCAGGAAAATGTCAGGACGAAGGAGCAGGGTACAATCTCAGACCTGCAGCTCATCCAGAACAAGTCCAGAAGAAAATAGAAGTCACACACCTGAAATTCCTGAGGTGGTGGCGACTTAAGAAACAACTTAGTGCTGGTGCTGTTTGGCTGACTGCATGCCTGTGTCTGGTGGTCTGAGGATAACAGTTAGAGGATAACAGTATGCCTTACAGCAATTATTACTGGTTTTCTACTATCTTGTTTTAGAAATCCAATATCATGTCCAATGTTTTCTTTTGTTTCATTATTTTATTGTCTTTGAAATAAAAACATTTAGATTCCCTTCAAATAAAAGTCCCAATAAAAACTGGGCAACTTGGGCTGGGGATTTACCTCATGGCTTAAGTGCTTGCTTGGTAAGCACGAGCTCATGAGTTCGATTCCTAGCACCAGAAAAAAAGAAAAAAAACTGGGCAACTGAAAGAAACATACATTTTTCAGGAGAAATACAAATGGCCAATAAATACATGAAAAATGTGTGATATCTTGGCCATTAAAGAAATGAAAATTAAAACAACATTGGGGGCTGGGGATTTAGCTCAGTGGCATAAGCGCCTGCCTTGCAAGCAAGCAGTCGTGAGTTCGATTCCTGGTACCAATAAAAAAAGAAAAAGACAAAACACAAAACAAAACAAAACAAAAAAAACAACATTGAAATTCTATTTTACTCCAGAAAGAATGACTATCATCCTCGAAAAATCAGATCACAACCAATGCTGGTGACTTTCAGGAAAAAGGAACACTTCGTCATTGTTAATGGAAATTCAAATTAGTACAACCATTCTAGAAATCAATTTGGAGTTTCCACAAGAAACTAAAACTAAAAAGTCCATTTTAATCAGATATTCTCCTTCTAGGTATCTTCTTGAAAGTTAAAGACATCATATTACAGATCACTGAGTGAGACAGGAAATGCCATCTTGGTTCACCCAGAACTGACATCAAAGATTTTAAAAGGAAACTTCACCATAAAACATTTCTCTTGAAACAAAGGAAGAGGCTTTTGTTGTTTATGTTGTGCTTGTTTTTAAATCATCAATATAGAGTATAATTTATATGTAGTTTTTGTAAGATAATTCAAAGAATATATGAGGAAACTCTAAAGGTGTTTTAAAAAAATACTCGAGATAATCAACTTAAAAAGAAGAATGGCTTGTTTTGGCTCACAGTTTTATAGGTGTCAGTATAAGGCTGGTTGGTCCTTTTGGTTTGGTGTGTCAAGGCAGCACATTTTGGCAGGAGCACATTCTGGGGAATCAACTTACCTCATGATAGTTGGGAAGCAAAGAGAAACAGAGAGGAAGAAGTCAGTGTCCCTCAGTCCCCTTCATGAGCATTCACCTGTGTTCACCTAAAATCAGATACTCAGGCTCCATCTCTTTTTTTTTTTTTTTGTCTTTTTCCTTTTTATTGGTATCAGGGATCAAACTCACAACTGCCTGCTTGCAAGGCAAGCGCTTATGCCGCTGAGCTAAATCCCCAGCCCCAGGCTCCACCTCTTAAATGTCCCACCACTTCACAGTAGTACCAAGCTGGGGGCTGAGCATTTAATGGGCCTTGAGGATATTCTCAGATAAACACTGTAGCAGGTAGCTAGAGAGATCAACAATATTTCCTTAAAATCTAAATGAAGTTTCCTTAAATAAACTAATACTTGAGCACTGTTCAAATTTCTCCAACTGTCTCACAGAAGTCTTTAAATACTTGTTTTAGCCGGGGCATGGTGGTGCACTCCTGTAATTCCAGCCCCTAAGAGTCTGAAGTAGGCAGATCGTTGCAAGTGCAAGACCAGCCTAAGTCACAAAGTGAGCCCAAGGCTAGCCTGAACCACATAGCAAGAACCTGTCTCAAAAATAGCAAAGGGGAAAAAAAAAAGTTGATTTGTTAGAATCAGGACTCAACCAAAACCCACATTCTGCTTTATGTTTCATATGGCATTTAAAAATGTATATATAGTCTCCTTTCCTTTTATCTGCTTGAGAGAACCATTCATCCTATGGGATTTCACATTTTCTGGATTTGGCTGATTGTATCCCCAAGGAGATGCCTAATATGCTCCTTCCCACCTCATCTCCTGTGAATTCCTGTAAACTGGTACTTATATCTGCAGGGTTGCTGGAATTCAGGTGTAAGCTTTGGCACACTGCTTGATAATTAACACTGCATACTTCTTCTATCACCCTGGTTCACTAAAGTTGATGATATTGAAAGTCATCTGGAGGAAAAAATAAGTACTCACATAGAAAGCATTTGACTTACAAATTTCTATTTAACAAGAGCAGAGACAGAAAGACAAATAAATGCCTCCAAACATCTAATAAGAACATTTGCAACACAAAATGTAATATCCAGCTAAACTGTCATCCAGAGTGAGGGTGGAATAAAGACACCTCAGACACAGTCATCAAAGGAAAACCTAACACAGATAGTCTCTAACTGAAAGAAAAAGGAAAGTGAGGGAAGCAAGAAAAATGGTTAGAACAGAAATTAATAAAGTATCAGTAAATTAATACCTGGAAACAGTCAAATTGGCCTTTTTTTTGTTTTGTTTTAAAAAAATGAATCTAAAACTCTTGATTAAATACTCATCTATCTGGGGTATGAGTATTGTAGTTAAGATATGCTAAGATCTTTTTCTTGCTTGGAAGAATGATAGACACTGAAAAACTTTACACCTCGTTGAAAAAACGTAAGGTCATGAATATATACTGGTAGAAAAATATGAATAAATGACATGTCACAAATCCGCAGCACAAGAACTCAGCAGTTGGTGGGGGCACAAGGGGTAACATTACCTGGAGTTTAGATGAGTCTTGGTATTATGGTTTATATCTAAATGTTCCCCCAAAGCTCAGGCACTCAGAGGATGGTTTCTTCTCTGTGATGCACCTTTGCCATGTTGCCCTGCTTTGGAACCAGCTGGCTATGGACCAAAACATCTACAAACTGTGAGCTAAAATAAGCCTTTTCTCCTTTAACTTCTGGTGTCACGTATTTTGTTCCAGTAATGAGAAAATAACTAAGACACATGGTTGGCATGAAGTAGAATTTGTTTAAAGTGAGTGATACATGCCACAATATTGAGCTTTACCTGGTATGACTTAATTCAAGCTTAGAAACTGTAGAAGTGAAAAGGGAACTTTATTTGGATCTTGGAAATTACAATTTGGGAAATAAAGACTCAGAACTTTCTGAGTAAGTTACCTCTGCCCTCAGCTCAGAATAAGTTGTCCCCTCCCTCAAGCTCAGAATGCATGGGGATTTAAAAGCCTTTAGGAGGAGAAGACAAACGAAATTCATACAAAATGAAAGTGACTGATGCAGCAAGGTTATCTTTTTTATTTTTTATTTTTTAAGAGCAGAATATATTTATTGAGAGAAAGAATATATTTAGTGAGAGGCAGAAAGGGTCCCGAGTGGGTTGCCGCTGACTCTGTCTTTTCTAGGGACTTTTCTAGAGCAAAACCATGAGGTGAAATAGGAAAAACATGGGAACTGGCAAGGCAGGTAAGCATGAGGTGGGACAGAATTATGATCAGTAAGTTGATTGTTCAAGTGAAATTGGCTATATCAGGGACAAATGGGGAAACGAGTCACGTAGCAAGCAGACATGCTTAAAGAATAGCAACTCTTTCTGTAGGGGTCTGGGATGGTGAGTTCTGGCTTCTGCAAGTTCCATACCTATTTAGAATATCAATCCTTGATTTTTATAGTGGGGATGTGGTTGCATTTGTTTTGCCTTTTTAAAGATCAAGCCAACAGCAGGGGTATCTGTCTTCTCCAGTGTTGCAAGGTACCTGAACTTCTGCACTGGCTCCTTCAAGGGTTCAGCCCTGCCTGCCTGCCTATAATATTTCTAATTAACTCAGCTGCCTGTAACTTTCTCCTCTCTGAAGAAGTAACCTGAATTGCCCTGAGAGACTAATGGGCGCTGACTGATCTGGCTTCTTAAGGCTGAAGATCATAGTTGTTGACTGGCAGTCAGGAATACTGTGCAGAGGTTCTATCTAAAAGCCCTTGATAGACACCACGCATTTTCATCTTGGGTAGGCATACAACTTAAGTTTGAAGGAGACAAGGCCAAAGAAATAATTAAGTATGTGTGAGCCAAATAATACAATCAACAGGATAACTATGAGTACAGTTAACAAAGATTTCCACCAAGAGGGGCTAGTAATATCTTCCCATTAGAAGGATAAGGATAAGATTCAGGAAATTTTAGAATCTGACATATCACTGATTTGTCATCTAATATCTTGAACAGCTATTAAAATGTTAGCAGAAGGATCAAGAATGTATATACACATTTAGTTTTTGTAAAGCAAAGTTATCTTGACACTGGGCAGCACCTGACTGATTGCTAGGACTCTTTCCAGTTGCAGAGTTTATTTCTAATAGTTAGAGCCAAGTGAAGTTTGTTTGTGGAAAGTGCAACTGCATCATAAGTAGTTGGTGGCCTCTGAAGATGTGGCCTAACTCCAAAGGTCATATTTGCACCTGCATGTCAAGCAATCGTATTCCTAGGCTGCAGTGTAAGATGTGCACAGGTTCTGACCCTGTGTTGGTCTCACAGTTTGAAAACGGTTCTTAAATTGTTGCTTTTCATCATTTTCTTCTGGATTCTACACTGGAGCCTGTGCTTTTAGAACAGTGGTGGCTAAGAAATCTCCCTATCCTTATGTGTTGCAGGAAATGGCTT